CCCCCAGACAAAGAGCACCCCCAAACAAAGACACACCCCTGCGTTGCGGGTCTGATGAGGAAAGCCACAACTGTTTTTGCTGTAACACCCCCCAAAAGAAAAATTCAAGATAAACATAAAATAGGCTCCGGTGATATCCCCAACAGCATGCGGTGCTCAATTTAGTGCTCGCACCACCCCGCAGCCCTTGCAGAACCCTCGTGGAACCTTGGTGGAACCACACCCCAGGGGCGCCCCGGACCACCCCAGAGCCTATCTGGGCTGAGACCCCAAAGCTTTCAGCTGTTGGGGGAGAAAAAAACACAAGAAAAAGTGAAGCAAAAATAACATAACAATGACACAACAGACACGCCTACATGTACAAAGCCGCAGCCGTTTTTTTTGGTCCACGGGGCCCTCACCGAGGCGACGGCCTGGAGCCGCAGGCACGGTGCTACAGCGCGCTGGGAAGCTCAATGTTGCCGGCGAACTCGACTGGAGGGGTGGGCTTCGGCTTCTCAGCATAGAACTCATTTGGCTGTGGGTCAAAACCAATGGTACCATTTTGGGGGTTTGGTGCACCATCCTGATCAATGAGCCTTACAACATGATCCCAGTTGAGGAAATTCAACTGCTTGAGTGATTTTCAGGACATGACCCTTCACTTTTGGGGGGCCTAGTGCCTTTTGAAACCGCCCCTTTTCCTGGCGTCTGAAGAATCACTAGCAGATGTCGCCTACTTTTTGTGCAGATTGACAATGGGGGGGCGTTACCAAGGGGTCCCCCAAAAAATGATCCTCCCAACCTGGACAGGTTTTGCGGGTTCCTGTAGCAGGATGCTTGGGAACAACTTCCAGCTGCGGCTATCCTTTCCGGCATTGCCAATCCTTTCCTTTCACCAGCCATAGGGAATCCCAAACTTAGGGAAACACCTGTACATTCCTTAAGGTAACCAGCAGGCATCCTGTTTGATCATGTCAGCGATAGGCCCCCTCCATTTCCCCTTTTTGTTTGGTGGGTTCGCCACTCAAAATGTTCAGCTACAAAAAGCGACGGGGCAACTGGAACTGAAGGACCGCCTTGGTAGCCTTGAATTGTACGTTTCTGTTGTGGGATTTCAAATTGGGTACTATAGCGCAGTCAAAGTGAGGGGAAAACATATGATCAACCCAGCCAAGGGTATTTGTTTTTCGACAACCGCATCAGCTATGGATCGAAACCTGAGGCTTGTGCAGGGCTACAAGGAGTTGGGGGAGCCTGAGCAGGCCTGCTCAAGACGAAGTGGGACCCGATCTGAACTCGTGAAGGTTCTTTGGGGGATTACTTCTAGGTCCCCCAGCAGTGCCCTTTTACCCTGTTTTGGGTGAGGGTTCCCCTACGGAAAGCGACTACTACAGAAAAAAGGGTACCCTTATTCTAACCTCTCCACTCAAGGACCTAGACTTGACTGAATTTTCATCCATGCTGAAGCGGCACCCGACCGCAAAGACACGGGCGAAGGTGAGTCAACCCGCAAGTTTGGTGGCCGCAAATTTGGCCCTAAGGCTAATAAACCCTTCACTTTTTTTTGGCGGGGCCAGTTTTCATCCGAAGGAAGCATATCAAGCTCACCGATCCGCCTCTCAGCCTGAGTTGCCGAGGGCCGATGCGAACTTCCTCCAGTGTGGTGACCTGGTTTACACAGGCTTGCAATTGGAAGACTTCTCATGCCGCATCATCGGTTTCAAACAACACACAAGTTGCCCGGGCTGCGACTCGTACGTTCGCACACATGGAGCAACACAATGCAGTTTGGGCTCAAACAACTGACGCACTCTCCCAAGAATCCCTTGAGTAATCCCATAAGAAGTTCAAACCAAACCTGGAGGCCATACTAAGGCCTCTTCATTTGAGGAACGGCAAGGTGACGGCTTGGCGCGGGCTGAGAGAGCAAGCCCTGCCAGGAATAGTTCGGAGGGTGTCCGCTTCGGTCAAATGGGTGTCTGTGTTTTGAGGCTCGACATGTGGACCAACGGGCACCAATCTTTCAGCAAAACAGAGGAACCCAAAGAGCAGGGGTTCTCAAACCGGAAAATCCACCAGAGCCAAAATCCTCCCCCCTTTCCGCGAACGGAGCTACGCCTTTTGTCGCCGTCGCAGGCTGGGAAGTGGCTGGCAAGGATGAGCACCTGGCGCGGTCCTTGGGAAGGTTTAGGGTGGAGAGACCATGGTTTCGCAGGGGCTCTCTTTGTTCGATTCGGTGCTTTTTTCCGGGGGGGGGTTCAGGTTTCTCTTTTTTTCTCTCTCTCTCTCTCTCTCTCTCTCTCTATGTGTGTGGGTGTGTGGGTGCGTGTGTTTTTGAGTTTTCTCGCATTTGCTGTTTTTTGGAGAGGGCGGTGCTTTCTTTCTTGGCTTTTTGTTGGATGGGTTCCGCTCCGCCGGAACTCCGGGGGAACAAGACACAATTTTCACCAGACCCCGTGCAACCCCTAAACCCCCAAATCAAACCCCACGCAACAACCTTGCAACCCACTGGAAATCCCAACTCGGTCGAACGTGATTTCCTCTCCACGGGCATCGGTCCTTTCGCTCTTAGCCCGTGACAGGTCGAACCACGAGCCCCCGCAGAAGCTGCTGGAAGGTGTGGATCAGCAGAGGCCAGGCCTCGAGTTTTGACAGGGATCTATGCTTGGATCTTCAACCAACTCAGCCCGGACCTCCAGCTGCACCCCTTTCTTCCTTTTTTTGCAGGGAACTGGAAGTCTCGGGATAGTCACCAGGTTAGAATATCAAAGGTTCTATCTGAGTAACTGGGGCAACTGGGTCGGCCCCTTTCTACCATGGGTATAACAAACCTATTTTCTCAGCTGCTTGAACGCCCCAGCTGGACCCCGTTTCCTTTTTTGTTTGGAGGGGTCGTGCCAAATGATGCAACGGTTGCGGGTTCCCTTAGCATCGACCTGGCAACGTGCCGTTTTTCCCATTTACAACAAAAAGAGAAGCCCTTTCCTCTTCAAGGTTGCTCCAAAGACCTTGGAACAAGGTATTGGACCAGCAAACGGACAGAGCACAGACATCGATACAAGAAGTCTGGAGACGTCGCTGGTGGCTTGAGCAAAACAAGAAAGCAAACCAAAATGCAACGAGGGGGGTGGGTTCACCTCGACTCTTTCAACAAGCAGGGGGCAAGTCATTTAATTGGAAGCCAGCATTGTCCAACTTTGCGAAAAGATGGTTCCCGCCTCCTTTTGCCGTCCAACGGAGCACACCAACCCTAAAATCTAAAGCAGCCGCAGTTGTTGACCCACCAAAGCAGGCGAAACAAATCCTTAGGACGGTTTCCTTTGGGAGGTATGGAACTCCATCGTTTCAACCGAAACAAAGATTTGGCAGAGGCAAGACCGCCTGTGCAGAAGCAAGCACTGCACAGATCGAGCAGATTTCAGGGATGTTCGAAGGGCTTTTGAAACGTGCCTAGGATTCGGGGGTGTGCCAAAACATGGAAATGAATGCCTCCCCCCCAGTTTGGATGCCAAAGTTAAGCCCCATTTGTTGTTTGGGAGCTTGAACCCCAGCTCCTTTTGAAGTCAAATGGGGAAGGTGCACCATAACGTCCACACCACCAAGCCAAGCAAGGTGGTATTATGCCCTTATCAAGGGTCTAACAGCTTGCACTTCGCCTGCTGTTCGCACTGCCAGGCTAGCAGTGCGATGAGCGCGAGCAGAAAAAAGGGAACGACTCCGCGATACTTTGTTGTGAGCACGGCGACTAGCTGATGAGTGCCATGCCGTGTGGATTCCAAAAAGTATTGATCAATCCACTAAAAGGAACATGCTTTAGGAAAGAAAAGCACACAAGAAGCACAAAACACAAACAAGCTGGCAAGCCCAACTTTGGCAAGCACCTTAGCTTCTTGAGTACTTGGACTTTTTTATACTTCTGATCTCTGGAAGACTATTTTAGGGGCAAACAAACAGTTCCGACTTTTGGCTGCCAATCCACTCGATCAGAAGTTAGTTGCAGGTCCTTTGGTTGCAAGTGCGTATCCTTGTTGAGATGTGCATTTTAAACCCTGGTCTGCACAAAGTATAGCGATCTTGTCTTGGTCAAAACGAGCTCACCCATGATGAAGGCCTCTTACGTGGGTACCCTCACAAAGACACCCTGCCGCCCCATCGCCCCCTCGCCCCCGTCCTCCTCCTGCTCCTCCTGCTCCTCCTCCTGCTCCTCCTCCTGCTCCTCCTCCTGCTCCTCCTCCTGCTCCTCCTCCTGCTCCTCCTCCTGCTCCTCCTCCTGCTCCTCCTCCTGCTCCTCCTCCTGCTCCTCCTCCTGCTCCTCCTCCTGCTCCTCCTCCTGCTCCTCCTGCTCCTCCTCCTGCTCCTCCTCCTGCTCCTAACGCCAATGCCATTGGTCAGCAACACGTCCTCACTTTTGCAGGGGGTCTAAGTGTGGCCAAGATGCGTGCATCCGAGCTTGGAAAACAACAACTTGGGCCCTGGGCCGATGCAAAGGAAACCGAAGATGGGGGAGGGAATTCGACCCAATTCCGAAATTTCCACTTTCCGTTTGCCAGAGAGAACAGACAATAGAATTGGGGAGCCTTAGTCAGGGACCCTGCGAACCCTCTCCAAAAGACCCCTCCCTCCCCCCCACCCACATGGTTTTTAGTGTGCGGTCTGTGAGCCGGGGGCATGACTGGCCAAGCGCTGAAGCCACAGGTTCTGCCTCAGAGTCATGGGCCTATTGAGTGTTCACTGCAGTGCCAGACTTAGCAATAGTTTTTTACCTTGCTGCTTTTTCTTGATTTGCCTTTTTTCAACCAGGAGTATAAACGAGATACCATGCTTGTAAGTCCCTAAGCGGGTTGGTAACAGATGTTTACCAACGCCCCGGACCATGCTGACGCCCGCGCCGCCAGGTTCGCCGAATCACGGCTATGCACTTTCAGTGATCTCATGCGCTTTGCAAGGGGTCCACACTCAAGGGAAGCATCGCAGCGCTCACGACTTGTCATCCGAAGCAGTCTGGAAGTGGCGGGGCCATGGATCCCAACTATCGAGAACAAAGGCTTGGAGGGTGAGAGAGAGGGTGAGAGGGCACGGAAGGAAGGCACTTTTGGCATCGGATTCGTCTGCTCTTGCCAGACTTAGCTTGTGACTTTAACCTGCAACTTTTTGGGGTGCCGTCCTTTCCCTTTTGACCAGCAAATGTTTCGGTTTTTAGGTTACAATTCTGTTTGACCCAGCTTTGGAAGGAACTTCCACACCAAAGACCTTCCATGTTGGCCCCATGGCCTCATTGCTCCCTAGCCCCCTTGAAACCAGGGTCCCTTGAGGGCCTAGTCCAGGGTTGGGCGATTCAATCCCTTGTTTAAACCAGGATTTAAAACATTTGTTTGTTAGTTACTACCTCTTTCGTTTCCCCCTAAAGGGCAACCACCTAGGGATGTGTATAAGCGGTCTGGGGGACGTTCCAGAAAACAAGGGCGGCGTTCAAACTAGGTGTTCTTGGGGCTGCCTGTCATACAGGGAAAGATGGCTCACACGCAAGTGAGTTTGAACTGATTTGCATGATGTATTACAAACAAAAGCCACGATCACAAGTTTTCGGTTTCTGGGTTGGTGTTTCTATGGCAAAACTAATGTGCAAAACATTTGTTTCAAGAGAAACCATACCACATGCATGTTGTGTTATGTGTGTGGGTAACCCAGAAAAAAAACAACATGACACATCTAATTACATTTTTTGTTTATGCAATACACTTTTGCTGGTTCATTGTACGCTTTCCTCTTCTTCTGCGTTGGTGTAACCCATAAAGCACAGACTGCAACATATCATAGCGTTGTTTGGTTCATTCCATTTTTTCCGCTTTCCCCAGAGGGATCAGGGAATTCAATATTTGATACTTTCAACACATTTGTTTCCAATGCCACACAATACTTGATACTTTCAACATATTTTTCCAATGCGACGCACAAACACACAGACACATAACGATTAATCGCATATTTTGCTGACTGCCCCGAAGGGAAAAAACACAACACATCAACATCAATGTGCGCAAGTCGCATGTTTCAGCTACCCTGATGCTGATTGTCCAACCACCTCACTACCCTTCACTGCCTCACCTCCCCCTTTTACCCCGTTTTCACTGCTGCTGGTACCGTCGCTGGTTTTGGTTTGCCGGGCGTCAACCCCGTTTTCCCCCGGGGCATCTCTGTCCCTTTGGGACGCGGTTCGGTTGGGTGAACCGAAGGCCGGGCACCGCCTCGCTGGCGGGCCGGGAGCTGCCCAAGGACTTGGTGCAGCAGGCGGGCGAAGCCAAGCCCCGGGGGCGAATTTCGTCGGGGTGGCGGGGGTGGGGTGGGGGTGGGGGTCGGGGTGGGGGTGGTGGGGGCCTGGTTGCGGTACTGCAACTGGAAGCTCTGGGACGGGATCTTGTTGGGTGGACTCGATATGCGACAAACAACTTTTGTTGTTTGGGGGATCGGGGGGAGAACCAGTCTCCATGAACATCTGAGTCCAGGACCTCATGGTGGAACTCTTGAACCCCCTGTCTCCGTCTCTCGGCCAGGTGTCGAATGTGAACATGGGCCAGCTCTTCTACATCCTGGGGCACATCCAGAAGCTCAGCGTGCGGAAGCCCGGCGCGTTGAGAGAAAAGGCCAGTTTGATGGGGATCCCCTGCAAATTCTAGCTTGCCATGTGATACTGCTCGCAGCCCCCCTTTCTGTTTATGAGTTCTTCTTTTTTGGGAGGAGGGGGGGTGGAGGGCAGGTTTCCCTTGCGTGAAGCCATATTGCCTCAAACTGTATTCTTTCAAACCCTTCCAGAGAGTCAGTCACGCTTGATTCTTTCGGTCAACAAATCCCGGCCTTCCACTGAAAGTGGACAGGCCTTTGCAATGGCACGGTCTTCCAAAAGCCTTCTGTCCGCCTCCACGTAAAGGGCCTGAGAATCTTAGGGCCAGGTCTTGCTGGAGATGACCCCCGCTCAATGGCAGGGCCAAGGATGCAGACCTATCGCTATGTCCCTTGTCAAACTCGGGTTACCCAGAAGAAAGGGGTCTTGGGTTCAGTTCTGAAGGGCCCATGGAGATTGAGCTAGGGGGGCTCCCTGCGCATCGCGAGGCGCAGGCGCCAGTCACAGCCCAGCGGATCCTGGCGGAGAATCCCCAGATCTGCCAGGCGCATCGCCGTTGGTCCCTGGCTTTGGGGGCGGTTTGGACGCTCAACGTGGCCGTATTTTGCCAATGCCGAGCTCCTGATTTTTGGACGGCATGGACCATAGAACATGTAGAGGTGCAATTGCCGTGGCTATAATATAAAGCCCAAAAAGGGTACCCCGAAACATATGCACATCGACTTGGACCCTTCAAACACCCTTCACCCTATGTGCCAACAATGGCGCCGCTCCCCCACAAAGAACCACCGAATCCAAGCTCCTGAGCACTCTGGTTCGTGGCAGGAGGCTTCCCTTGACTCTCAAAACCAAGCTGGACCCTCGATGGACTGGTTGCCTTCAGGTGGTACGTCCAGTCATCCAGGTGAAGGTTGGCCTGGACTTGCGAGGCCCTGCTACACGCGGAGTGTCTCGCAGGGCTGCTGGATGAGCCAGCACTGCCGGGAGTCCAAGGGGACCCGTTTCCGGGGAAGCTGCATGAACGCGAGTGGCCCCTCAAACGTTTGGTGCCCTTCCGTTTCTATCTTGAAAAAGGCGGTACACCATGTTGGGGAGTTCCAAATAGTAATTGTGAGATGGGGTCATTTGTTCACTCCCAGAGTTGATCCCAAGAACGATGGCCTTGAGCCACAATCAATACCAGGGGAAGTGAAGGTTCGTAGGGCAACAGAGTCATTTTAGCATCAAATCCAACCCGAGTCCTCCTTAAAGGATACATGTGGGCCAGGCAAAAAAGACACTTATACGAGCTGATTTAGAGGGTCCCTTGGGACAGGTGGTTTTTGGATGTATCCTTCTAGTGGAACCCTGTTTTTGAAAGAACGATGGTTGGGAAGAGTTGGACTCAACCAGAACTTTATGCGCAACCCTTTGAACCTCTTTTTCTGTTCGCTGTTATTTTTTGTGGTAAGTTAGATGGGAAGCATTGCTAAGTGGTTAGCTTTGCCATGGTTATAAAACCCTACCCATGGTTGCAACTCTCCATTCTGTAGTACGGAGCATCTAAATAGGCTCCCACTGTGAGGGGAGTTGTCAAAATTTTGGTTGGTGCCTCTGTTTAAAGGGGATGCCAAACAGGCGCCAGAGAATGTGTCCTGCGGAAGGCCCTTGAGTCGAAAGGCAGTTCTCACCAACCCCAGGCCCTTGCAAGGGACTTGCTGGAAGACAGAAGTTGGGTTTTCTTTCGCATTTTTTTTTGTACGCTTGTAAATGCGTAATTTGTCTTTGGATTGGAATTTGAGAATTTTAACCCTTGCTTGTCTTCTAGTGATTTGAGGCCACTCAACGCAAGCCAAACAAAAGGGGGCCGATTGGCAGCATTTTGTCTTACGAACTATGAACAAGCAGAAGATACGTCATTCCTGCAGTGCCTCCATGCGCCTCCCTGAACAAAGAACAGCAAACCCTTGTCGCGCCTGGAAGCCGAGGCCTCTGAGCGCTGACGAGTTGCGGCGGAGCAAGGCCAAAGCCAGGCAGCTCCAGGAGCCGAAGCTTCGAAATCCGAAAAGGCACTCGTGGCTCGCATGCCTTGGGGGGGGGGGGAGGCTGGATAGAAAAAACAAGAGCCTCATCCCCTGCGGTTGTCAGCTCAAAGTGAGTATTTTCCGTTTGGGGTGTGCAACGAGGCAATGTAGGGATCCCTTGAAGAATATGGGGCCGAAATATCAACCTTGCTTCTAAAAACCATCCAGCTGAGCAATTACATGTTTCCCCAAAGAGGACATACAGTGGTCAATGGGAAGCTTGGGGGAACCTGCGCGCCACTTGTCTATCCTACTGCTCAGCTGCTGCACGCTGGGTGACCACCAATGCACCATGTGCTCCCCAAACCCGTCCCAGACACTCAGTGTGTTGCCAGCCGCTTTTTCCAACTGTCTTTTGCCTCTTTAAAACCCATTTTCGTTCTTTCCCCCATGGCCACTGAGGGGCTGGGACACTGCCAATAGTTTCTTTCAAAATCTCAGACCTCGAATGGAGTAGATGGCACAACCTCCTCATTCAGCTTTGGTCATCCTGACTTGCAGACCGAAAAGGAGTGACCTCGACTTCTCCACTGGTGCAGCTTTTTGCCTTGGGTGTTGCTTTTCACTTCCCCTTTCAACCCACCAACACCTTAACTTTGCGCAGGGGTCAGATCAGGCTGACCCACTTTCATGAGCCTTTCACAGGAGCCTTGCCTAGAAGGAGTCGTTCTCTTGAGTTCTTCCCCAGAAGCACAAAGCTTCAAACTCACCGCTTGCCCCCTCAACTTCGTGGCGTGCAAACGCCTTTTTGTGGAACAGCGCCTTGTAGTGGGAAAACAAGCCGGGTCTTGGTGCCCGTCCACGGAGGGAAGACGCTCCTCAAAAGGAATTGGCCCCCTTCCAAGGTTGTTCAGTAGATCCCACCCTTTTCTCCTTTCCGCTTGGTGGGTGCTCGACGAAAAATGGTCAACCAATCAAAAAGGGTCCGCCTTTGCGTCACCGGTTGCAACTGGAAGCTTTTTGATGAGGGCGAGTTGCGCCAGAAACATGGGCAACATTTGTTCACAACAACCAGACCTTTGGGCCCCTTTAATCAACAAGCCAAAGGATGTTGTTAAGATATTTCCAATTCACGCCCTCGTAGACGTTCTGAGTTGAGAGGGATTCATGAGCTATCCCACAGTTTCAAGTAGTAGCGGGATCAACGGACCATCGAGTAAACAGTACTAGTTTAAACATGTCTCCATTCTTGCACGTCGCAGGACGAGATGTCGCAGCATGAGTTGGGCAGCCAAGGGTGCGGCAACTGGCTCCAGAGTTTGCATGCTGGTAAACTACTTGGCTTTCGGCTAAGGCCATTATCTGTGACTGCAAGGACATCCCCTTTGCCAACATAGTCACTTGATGGCCCACTTTGGTATGGCAAGGGCTACTTCCCACAGCCTTTGTATACGAGGTTGGGTCTAAATATCAGGAGTCTGTGGATAGCTAAACTCTCAAGACATGCCGCAGAGGGTATAGCAAGTTGTGACCGTGTCGGTGCTGTTTCTTTCTTGTTTGGGAGACTTTGGTGTTGTCGAAACGGGCAACCAAAAAAGGATTTCCATTGTAGGGTTGAGTGGCTGACTATGCACACTTTCAATCGTCTACATCACTGTTTTGGCCGACCAACTTTCCATTCGGCATGCAGTTTGCATGTGCAAAGCTATGGCTATCAGCGACAAGCCGTATGGAGAGGCCTCCACGCTTGCGACGCTGCAATGTTTGCAAGACACGCTCTACCAGCTCTGCGGGTGAACAGGACCTACAATTTGCGCTGTCTCATATCATGCATAGCCACAGATGCATTCGTTGAGACGCGGCTATCGTTCTCGTACGATGCAAGCGTTCCCTTGCTGTTAGCGATCAGATTCATCATGTCGCTGATGGCGAGCGGAGAAGCAATCCTGCTGTCGGTGGAACAAAAAGAACAACTGTCAAGCTTGGAAGACCAGCGTAAAATGACATTTCCTTTCGGGATCTATACTCCTCTTTGTGTGCGTTGAAGTCTTCCATGCGACAGTTCAATGTGAGTTTCAATGCGAGTTTCCAGTTGGTGGGGCTGGGAATTTAGTTGGATCCCTGCTAGAATTTCACTGCCGTGGCAAGCTCAGACTAAGAGACGCCCCCAATGACCCCTTATCGTCACTAGTAGTCACCAGTAGGTATTTTGTGTTGCAAGGGATTTTACTAGGGGATCCAAGTCTTCTTGCAGGTCTTGGGGTTATTGCTGGGAACTTGGCCAACAATCACGCGCAGGCCTTTCAGTTGAGGTTCCGTTCAAAGTGCTCTTCGATTCTTTGTGAGGAATCCAGGAAGGTTCTAACAAGGATACTTCTGAACATCTCAAATCCTGGGGCACCAGCATTGTTGAAGCAAGTTTTGGCTAAGTAGCTTGAACACCGTAGAGGTGCCAAGTTGACCGGAACAAAGCTGCCAAGGCTGCCTCTGCCGGCGCCGCCGCCGCCACCGGCGTCATCAGCGCCGGTGTTAGGCCAAGACCAGAAGGCAGCCGGGAGGTTCATGGGTACTTGGATGTTCAACCAAGCTTAGTAGGTTATAGCCATGGTTGCAACTGGGAAAACATGGGTTAGTCCCCTTGTAACCATGGTTATCACCTGCTTTCCCGATACAGCTGAGAGAACATGAAACTGCATCAGAACATATTTTCTCTGTACCCCAGGTGTGGGCCCCAATACGGTCATGGACACTTGCACAGGGATTTTTCAGGTCCGAGCAACATTTGTTGCCGCGCCTAGAGTCAGACGCTAGCGGTTGAATCGCCATCCAACACCCATGTGGGCAGGACAGGGACAGACCTTCCATGGTGCCCTTCTTACTGTTTTTACTGTTTTTGGGAGGTGGGCCTCGTTAGAATCTTATCTGCCTAAATGAGTGCATGCCTGGGACCGATCTCCGACTCCTGTCTTGTGATTCAGGGATGGAGTCATAGAGTCACTCGTCTGTTTGACAGACAACCCTCAGAAGTTGATTCAGAGAATCGGATTTCTATAGTGTCAGGGCCTTAGGAGTTCTTCCGTACACGCAAGTATTTTTTGGGGGGAGTTCCAACAGTTGCAATGTTTTAGGACATGGGGGAGGGGGATTTGAAGGGAACCCTGTTGAAAGTGATAACATACTCATGTCAATGACCCACATAGGTATCACAGAAAGGTTGCTTTTTCCCGAGCGGTCTCCTTAAAGGATACGCTTTGGCCAAACCATGAGCTTTTCCACCAAACCCACACTCAAAACATCATTTGTTCCAGTTTCCAGGTTGACAATCCTAGAACACCAATCGAAGCTCCCACAGTTTCTCGATGCCTACATGGCCCTCCAGGAATCTGTTCGAGTTCTGATGCAGGGCTTAGAACAGAACCAAGGGGTGAGGACCGCTTTTTGGTTTTCTCCCTTTGGGTTAGTGTGAAAGGGACACCCACCAGGAACCCAACCAGTCTTGGGATTTCCCTATTTTGAGACAAGGCCAACATGGGTGACAAAGAAGTGCAAGATACATATTCAAGGTTTGCCAAACTTTGACTGTTGCCTGCGGGGTTCCAAAAAACGGGGGTGTGTCTACCGGGAATCCGGATCACTTCAGGAGAAGCAGTGCCATCCTTTCTCTGGATTCATGATTTCCGGAGGGGGGATCATCAAAGCCAGGAAAGAGACCCTGGTTACCTACTACAGGACGCTTGCGCGTCCTTCTCCCATGGACCCCATTTTCGCCGCCTTTTTGCTTTTTTGTGGTGGGTCCCGGCAGCAAAACGGGGGTCCAACCTGGGGGTTTTCTGCCTCTGATTGGCCAGGCCCAGCTGATGCAAAAGCTTATGCAGCTCACCCCCGAGCAGATCAGTCGCCTGCCGGGGGCTTGGAAGTTGGTGTTTCGTGGTCTTCGGGCTGTGCAGGACGACCTCTTTGGCTGCGGTTGTCAAAAATAGGTACCTAAAATGGGGTGCCCTGGCAAGTGGCAACATGGAACCAAACCTGTGGTTTTTTGGTGGTTTTATTTTGAGACGAGGTGTCCTTCTTCAAGGTCGGGGCTACCAAAATGGCTTCGGCTTTCCGGTGGGTTTTTACATCAAAGCACAAAAAAGGGGTAGTCTCGAGAAAAGACGCGGCCATGTCGCCGAGGCGAGATATTAAGCTCGAAGAAAGGTAAGACTTGAACTTGGCCGGCTGGGGGGGGGGAGGGTGTGGCGGGCTCATGGATGCGGGGGGTAAAACGAGCAGAAATCTATGACGTGCAGATTCTTTGCTTGGAGATCCACTTCTTCTTTCAGATCGAATTGTACTAACATCAACCTATCTAGGCTTCGCTCTGTCGCGGGAGTGCAAACTTGCAGAATTGCCTCGGACACCTACGTCTTTCTTTGAGGCTCAGAACCCATCCCGCTTTTTGGGGCTTTGAGGGCTTCCGTTGAGAGTCTTAGAGACAAGCCCACCCGAGAACCTACGTCATTTGCGCAACTCGGAACGACTCACTCGAGGCCGCAGAATACTAAAATGCAGCTGCTGACCTTCCTGGAGCAGAACAAGCGAGCCTGAATGGGCCGATCGCAGTGAACATATTGGGGGATCCTCAACGTGATATGTATGTGTATATATGTGTATATATATATATATTGATACATAGCTGTGTCTTAAACAAATGGGGACCCCGAAAACAGACGGCTCGTCCCCTTTCAATCCTTGTTCCAAACCACTCCCAAACGGTTATCTCAAGAAACGACACCCTCTCTCTCTCTCTATATATATATATATATGTATATGTAGACTTTAAAAAAGCAACATGGAGCTCCTTTCCGCCCGCCGTAGGGTAGTTTGGATTTCGTGTCAGATGGGCCCAGCCCGCTAAGCCGCCGGGAGCGGACTCCAGATGCCAGCTCTGAGTGAGGGAAAAACTATTCGCGCGGCGCGCGGAGCCATGCAGATGGACAAAACCGCGAAGAAGTTGGGATGGATGAGGTACAACTGAATCCAGTTGATAAATCAGAAGTCGCAACTGGTGCGAAGTGGGTTTTGTCCATCCACAGAAGAGAGGTGGGTCATGAACATTCCACGGCTTCCCGGAGCGTTTTGTGCCTGAAACCACACGGGAGCTTCCTCGTTGAGCAAAGTCAGTTGGACAAGCCTTCCGCTGGTATCATGGTGAACAATTCACACAACTCCGCTTGAATAATCATTTTTTTTTTTCAAAGGACACCAGGCGGAACACAGGTCGTTTGCAACTCCTAGGTCGATCCCAAACAGACAGCGCCTTTGGTCAATTAAAGTCACATGTCATCAAGCAAGTTATAGTACTGGGTCCGGGTCCCTTCAAAACTTTACAGCTTGGGTTCTCAACATTCCCCAAAAGGACCACGCCGGGCGGTTTTTCGTTAGGCCACCATTTCGGGGGTTCTGCGGATGTCGGTGAATCGCGGAGGGAAGCGCCGCTGCCAGTTCAGCTGCTCGGAGGCAAGAGGCTTCTTTTGCCTCAAAAAATGGGGAGACCCACAAAATGGGTTTGTCTCAATCCCAGCAACCCACACACACACACAAACACCAGAAAAGACACCCCTGAAAGAAGCAAAAAACAAAAGGTAGCCTCAACAAAAACCCTCAACATGTGTGGCTTCCTTTGGTTTTCTCTTAAAAACGACCGCGGGCAATCAAGCAAACCAAGCCTCCAAACCGACTCCTACACAACCCCACCCGGGACGCTCCGGAAATCCCCGGGATTTTGATTGACACCTCTGCGTGGTTTCCTCCACTTAAGATGGTTCAAACCACCTCGTGGGCCATTCCACGATCAGCTTGGTGTGATGTTTAACACCTTTTAGCTGGTTTAAAGCACCTTTTGGCCAGTTGACAATGTGGTTACTTGCTGTGATGTTCCACTTGCACACCCCTGTCACCCCTTGTCAGCTTCCACCCCTTCAAGACTTCTCGTGCCATGACGCTGCCGGCCGGGGGCGTGCAGGCGACGTGGCAGGTGTCGGGTCTCCTCCAAAACTGCACGGGTGCTTTTAGATGGTACCGATTTTTGTGGTTGTACAGGGAAAAGTGGGGCGTCCCCTGCAACAAGACACACCCATATGTATTTTAGGGTAGACAACATATGAGACAGAAGAGGACAATCGTATTTCCTTTGGCCTTTTCTGATGCAAGATCAACACCCAGTAGAAGGTAGAACAGTGGTCGGTGTCTTGTTGTTCTCTCGGCAAACCTCACAAAGGGAGTTTGCGAAGTCACCTATGAAGGTTCCTTTCAAAGGGATCCTCACTTTCTTTTTTGTTTGAATTATTCATTTTTAAACACAACGAGCGCACAGTAGCAAGTGCTCATTTGCAAATCGCAACGGGCACTTGTTGATTGCCCGGGCAGAAATTCAAGAATTGGACCCATTGTGTGTACGAGCAGAATACAACGCGCGAAAAAAGGTTTCAATGGAAGCTCGGGGAAGAACTCGAGCCCCGACAAAGGAGCTTCATGGCTTTGGCTCGTTTGACCCCGGAGCGAGCTAGTAGGCAGATAGATTTCTCCCCCAAAACGACACGGAAACAGGACCTGCCTTGTGGCCCTCCGCCACAATTTGAACATGCAGTGTGGTCAATGTTAGGTGGCTTGTGCAGGGAGTCCACAAGCAAGACCAACGAGATTTGGGGGTCCGTTGATCTTGGAAATACCCGGACAAGAAAAACACAACATGAACCACCATGTTGACACGATCCCCTGTATCTACGGTAGCTTGTGATATCTTGTACCATTTTAGGATTTAACTGTGGGTCGGTACGACCCCTTCCAAACCCCCAAAGGTGCCTTATGTAACCTTTGCTGACATTGTTTTGCTTTCAGAAGGCTCGTGAAGCCCCGGATCCTGGGTGGTTTGAAGGGTCTCTGAAGAAATTAGAGAACAGGGGTTTCCCTGTGTTGGGTTATTTTACACGACATGGAGGCCCAACCAGTCCTTCTGTTGTCAAGGGGCGATGCCGCAATACGTTCTGGTTCTTTGTAGTCGAGGTCGAGTGGTTTTCCATTTGTGCAAGCCAATTTGAGTCCTTTCGACCCCCCCCCCAACACCCCTGACCCAGGAGCGGGATGGCCCCATGATCTTGGGTTTCAATGATGTATTCCAATATTGAGCATACCGTGTGAGTATACCCCATTTTATGAGACGGGGTCAAATTATCATGAGCCTCAAGAATCTGATTCCAGCCCTTGCCTAATCGCCCTTGCGATTTGCTTTGGGAACCGGATATCAAAGAAACACACATGTCCTTGCACCACAACAGTTCAAAATGCGAACACTGGGAAACGATTGGGGTCTCACTAAGAAGGAGCTGAATACAACGATCATGCAAAATAATCTCGACAGCGGTTCATACATACATACATACATACATACATACATACATACATACATACATACATACATACATACATACATACATACACATACATACATACATACACACACACATCCATCCATCCATCCATCCATCCATGCATGCATGCATGCATGCATGCATGCATGCATGCATACATACATACCATACCATACCATACCATACCATACCATACCATACCATACCATACCATACCATACCATACCATACCATACCATACCATACCATACCATACCATACCATACATACATACATACATACAGACACATACATACACATACATACACATACATACACATACATACATACATACATACATACATACATACATACATACATACATACATACATACATACATACATACATACATACAGACACATACATAACATACATAACATACATAACATACATAACATTACATACATACATACATACATTACATACATTACATACACACATACATAACAAACCATAACATAACCTAACATAACATAACATAACATAACCTAACCTAACCTAGCATAACATAACAAACAAACATACATACATACATACATACATACATAAATACATACATACACACATACATACATACATACATACATACATACATACATACATACATACATACATACATACATACATACATACATACATACATACATACATACATACATACATACATACATACATACATACATACATACATACATACATACATACATTACATTACATTACATTACATTACATTACATTACATTACATTACATTACATTACATTACATTACATTACATTACATTACATTACATTACATTACATTACATTACATTACATTACATTACATACATACATACATTACATTACATTACATTACATTACATTACATTACATTACATTACATTACATTACATTACATTACATTACATACATACATACATACATTACATACATTACATACATTACATACATTACATACATTACATACATGACATACATTACATACATTACATACATTACATACATTACATACATTACCATTACATACATTACATACATTAACGCTTCTCTTCACTTGTCTTGGCATGTGCGAATTTGGCCGGCATGTGCTTTGTGTGGTTCTGTTTAGTGGGCTGCAAAGAGCAAGGTCTGTTGCCTACTTACGAGTAGTTTTCCCTTTGGGTTTCCCAAGAAAAGGGTACTTTGATAGGAACCGCGCACAGGACATTTTCTACAGGAAATGGGGCAACACCCACCAGAAACACGAGGGTTCCTCGCAGGCCAAGCCCGGGCTCCGCACAGGCGTGAGCCGATTCGACGTCTGGGGGTCGCAGCTAGAAAGGCGGGGTTTTGCCAATGGTAAGGTGCACCACCCATTTTAGTCTATTTTAGTGGGGATTGGGATGTTCACTGGGGGTACGGGCTTTTGACCCATGGCCATGTGTCTAGGTTTCATGGGGTTTAGTGGACCATCACCGAAGTTTGATGTCCACCAAAATGGGTGCCTGATGATTCTAGCATTGAGCTCAACATGTTGAAGGCATTTTTGGGGGTTACCCGGAAAAGAGGAGAGGTATCCCCCCCGATCCACCCCTGGCCCAAGTGCCTTTAAGCGGAGGCTCTTGCGGGTTCTCAGATTCGGGAACCAATTGGAACACGAGCCATGCAACTGATAGTTTCCTTTTAGCGAAGGCTTACAAGCCCAAATCCCCAGGATTTCCTGAGAACCCCATCCCTTGTGGCTTCCATTTCAATAGTACCCAGGCTTAAAAGTCGATCCCAGGATTCCCAAAATCGACAGAAGCCCCAACTCACGCCGCGAGTGTCGATCCCGCGAGCCGGAGGCCAGCGGGTGGTGCTGCACGGCCTCGCCAAGGCGGAGCTCAACGGCCACCGCGGCGTGGTGGTGCGCTGGCGCGAGGCGCGCTGAAGCCGCGGGTTCGGCGCTTCGGTAGGGAGCTGGGGGGCCTCCTCCAAAAGGATTCTGGAATATTCTGGAGTTTTTTTTTGGGGGGGACCAAATAGGGAAGAGAATGTGAACATGTCATTTTCTGTGTATCGTAGATGTGGGCAAGGGAAATTGCTTTCCACAGAAGGGGTCAGGACAATCCCAAGACTCCAAACCCCATGTTAGGTTTGCTTAGCATGAACACTTGGGGTTGTTCCCTTCCCGGAATCTGGAGCAGTGCGGGGTCTGGGTGAATGTCTTGACACGGGGTCTCCATGTGATCGGCCTTACCAAGGCGATTCTTTTGGGGCTGTCCTTGAAAGTGGGGGGCTTGGACTGATCCATTTCTGCTGGTTTGAACGTCCCCATATGAACGTCGCCCTACTCGAGACGCCCTTCTTTAAACTAGGGTAGCCCCGAAAAATGCAGGTGCTTACCATGAAAGCCCCGGTTTGTCCAACTATACCAACTCAAAAGCACGGGAATTGGGAGTGCGGGGCAAGGGGTTGTGAACAGTAAGTGCTGCTCTCCATGATTCTCACTTTCACCCGGTGATCGCTGAAAGCAAAATTTGGGGGTTGCTCAAATTGAACCGGTGTCTCGCAGCCTTCCGTCTGTACTTTTAGGAGTTTAGGATTGCAGCTCGTGATTTGTGACATGAAGATTTGTGCAGGAAATAGGCACGTTCCGCTTCCAAGCATTTCGAGTGAGCAACCACAAGGCCAAGAGCGACAGGACACCACCCAAACCACCTCACAAGTGATTGGTTGACATGAGCCCCCCCCTGCATGATGTCCACCATTTCGGGTCCCCTATCCCCCCCTATGTTTATTGGGGTCAACGAACCACTCGGCCAGGTCAGCAATTTGGTATTCTTTTTGGCTGGACACGGGTGAAACATGAGGTCCCCGACCTCCAGCACCTTTCGGGAAGAGCGCAGAACCAAAGGAAGATGGGCGTGTCTTTTGTTGAGGGTACCCCCTTTTGGGTCGGTTTAACGGGAAACCAAAAGGACATCCACCATGGGGGGGGTCCCTGAAAAGAGACGAGCCCAGAATGCTGAACTTGTTGTTTTTGAGGGAATCAACTGCCAAGAAAGGATACCCTTTTGTGCCGGAGCACCCTGGCCGCCAGAAAGTGGACTAGGCGAGTGATGAAAACCACATTTGTTCTTACCTGGACCCTCCTATTCGCACCATAAATGTTGGGTCGAGGTCCCATTTCGAAGGGTTTTCTGAGGTCTCGTTGTTTTAGCTGTTCCTTCATCTTCCCTGTCAGTCGGTCGACGTTTGGTCCTGTATCATTGGCATGATGGTGTCGTATGCTGACTCAATATTGACTGGAATTTCCACTGTAAGAGGGGGTCCGGTTCCCTTCAGGGAAGCCCCGCCCCCCCAAGGAACAGAATTTGCTTGGTTGATTCATCTGGGACATTCAGGAGCCCCTGTTTTCCGTTTTGAATGATTAGCGGACATGCTCGTGCCGAAGATTCAGCCAGGATTGCGGTCGCTATGCCGTGCGCGTGGCTGGCAAGGCGCGGGATGTCGTGCTTGGGACCCGGCTGGTCTTGTGAAAAAGTACTTGAACCGTTGCCGTACCTTAGCGCTCTTGCTGTGGCGCCATGCAAATTTGCCAGCTTTCCGACTCGTCCGACGAACCCTGCGCATGTCGAAGCCCTTTTGCTTTTGCACCATGCAAACTTTCAATTCGTCGCCCGTGAACGGTTTGTGGGGATCGTGCGTGTCGCAATGCTCTCGCTGTGGCGCAGTGCAAAATTTGATTCTGACGAACCCTCTGCGGGGATTGTGCGTTTCGAAGCACTCTCGCTGAGGTGGCGTTGCAAACTGGGAAGCTCGCCTCTGCAGGAATCGGGTGTGTGGAATCGCGCTGATTAGAGCCGTGCGAATTTGCGGAGAGTAACGCGCGAAGTGCGCTTTTTGCAGCTGTTGCCGGAAATGGCGGCGCATCAGCGTTTGACAAGGGATTTGCGCCTCGGGCTGGACCGACCGGCTCTTTGTCTGGGCTGCCGGCCGCGGCTCCTCTTTCTCTTTCTCTAACTCAGCGGCTGGCTGCTGTGCTGCGGGCCCGCTGCCGTGATAAAAGAAAGGGAGTGAGAGTCCATAGTTTCGCACTGTCAGGCGCCTCCAGCATTGCTTGCTCCGGGGCTGACGAGCGTGCGAGGCTTCTGCGAATCCCGCGAAAGTGCCTTCCTTTTTTTTTTTGATAAACCCTTTCGGGATATGTAGAGGGTAGTTTAGGGTGCCCTTTTTGAGTTGGGTTGGGCAAATCAAAAGGACGCCACCCATTGCGGCCCTTTTGAGACTGACCTAAATCTGGAGTCTCCTCGAAGGTTGCTTCATGAATTAGAGTCGACCAGATATGAAAACCAACCAAAACCCTCTATTTCCTTGTGGGCCACTTTTTGGGGCCCAAGGTTAAGAGTAAGCGCCACGCCCTTTTGGGTCTTTGGGCCGATAAACAAAAACTCCACATGGCGCTGTTCGGGCGGGCGCGCCCGGGCGGCGGGGCAGGAGATGGGCCTGCGCCCGGAGAACCTGAAGCCGGAGGGCGGCGCGGCGGTGGCCCAGGAGATGGCCAAGAAGCTCAGCGCCAAGGCCGGGCGCTCGGGCGGGCTCCGGGCCTTTGGCTGGGCTCCCCGGAGGCCTGGGGTGGCTGAAAACGTTTTTTTTTTTTTTTTTCTCGAGGGTTTCAGGCTTTGGGGTTTTGAAGGCGCCGGCTGAAAAGTGTAGTTTTGGCTGGTGTGGGTGATGTTTTCGGGCTGGAAGTAGAGGGAAGGCAGCCTGTGTGGTTCTTCTTTTTGAGCCGCTCAATGCTTTTTCGGGGTTGGCAGCTTTTTTGGGGGGGGAGTGCCCCATTGGAAGACGCACATATTTCCAACCTACGGGCCTACGGGCACAAGCTGGGTTACCAGTCGTAGGGTTTCCATTCACTGCCCAAAAGGCGATGTTTCAACAAGGGAAACATGGGGAATCCCGAGCAAACCACAAAAGAACTCACATGACGAAAAACAAAGATAATATGCCAGATGGATCGTCCGTGGGTCTTTTCGTCCTGATTTTGTGGGCGTTCGGCTGGATGGATGGCAAGCAGGAGTGGCTAAAGTCAGGCCCTTTAAGTAGGTGGTACCAGAGAGGCACTAACCACCTGAACCCTCCTTTGTTGCTCCTCTTTGGACTTCTTAGGGGTGCAGGTTCAGAAGGGGGTTGACGCATTTGGGCGGCAAACGTTTTGGAAAGCAGGTTTCAACTGGTGTTTAGTGGCGCAGGTTTGGAGGTAAAGGCTTGAGTTCACAACGAACCTGCAAAACAATATGGCGTTTCTTGTTTCATCGGAAGCTTGCTGCAAAGGTTTGGGGTTGGGCGCTTTGGGATCGTTCATCTCATGCCCCAACCCCCACGAACCCCCCCTGCCAAGTTCGACCGTCTCGGCGAAGCCGTGAAAGAGAAGACTTGAGCTCCGAGCGTCGCAGGTGGGAGACGGATCCATGTACAACCCAGCGCCTTGGACGCGCGCAACCGCTCCGGGCGGTTTTGGACTGGGCCGGTTGAAGGCCAGAGGCCACCGAGTTCCAGGTTCGTATGGGCATAACATGGCCGTCAGTTGTGAGAATCCTTGTTTCTATTGCGGGATGGTTGAGTTTTCACCGTGGTACTGGACACTGTGAGTGGCCTCTGAGGCAATGTCCGTTCTAGTACCACATGGGGTGGGTGTGTGCTTTTACGAGGCTGCTTTTCTTAGGCGTTGGGTAAAAGACAAAAGCAGTGAGTGGTCCCATGACACGAACCCACATGGCTTCTGCACTTAAAGACTGCAGTGGTGTTGTTCTCTTAAAAGGAGCTTTGGAGGGGGTTCCCTTTGAAAGTGTTCTTTTTTCCCATGGCCACTGGGACTGGGTGTGCGACTTTTCTGGAAGATGGTAAAAGATGGAAAATGCCCACCCTTGAACGGTGGGGTTTCCCAGTAAACTGCTCTTAGAATCTTGGGTACGAAGGGCCGCGTTTTGAGGTCCATGGAGGGTCCTTGCTGATGCTTAGGGACTCCTTGTTTCTTCCGGACCTTTCGTCAGGTCAGCCTTAGGTGGTTTGGATTTGTGTTTTGACCCCTGGATTTTGTGTGCAAATGCAGGAATGGGGAACCACTTCTATCGAAAGCTGATGGGGACCCCTAAGACCGGTTGGTTTGGATCAAGCCCGTCTTCAAAAGCCATGCAAAAGGAGGTGAAACTCATATGGTGTGGGTTTGAGGATAGTTTGGCACAGCATTTTCCTCAAGCTTCCTTTTCTTTTAGACCAACCTTTAGCATGCAAAAGGTGGTGGAACCCATATGGGTGTGGGTTTTCTTGTAGACCAACTCTCAACAGCTTGGTTTAACGAGGAAGCCCCGCGCCCGCGCGGCTCGCCGCTTTCGCGGCTCGGGGCTTCGCGGCTCTCAAAACGGAAAACACCGAGGAGGCCTACTCTCGGATCCCCGGCGCTGGGCCGAAGATGACCCACTGGGTGGGCCAGGCCAGCGGGCGACGGGTGTCCGAGGGCTGGTTTCAACAGAGCTGTGTCTTTTTGGTCAACATGGACACCCCCCAAATAGCAAGAGGTGGGCTTTCTCTTGGTTTCCAGGGAGCCAAGTCTAAGAAAGATACACCCACATGGCGTTTAAACAACCATGGGGTCACTTCCAAAACTACGTTATATTTTGGGGGAATGTGAAACTGTTTGAAGAAATCATTTTCCGTGTACCCCAAATTTGGAACAAGATGTATTTAAACAACCATACCCTGGCAACTTTTCAAAGGGAACCCAAAAGGAAACAGCCGAGGTATGCTTCCCTGTGTCAGACTTCAAGGCTGCAACGAATTGCGGCTGGTCAGCTTTCTGGACACATTAGAGGGACCTTTCGGGGGTGAGGGTTTGCCACATCCAGGATGAACATGTTCTGGGTGCAGACAAAGGCTCACAACTGCAGACAAGGGCTCACAACAGGGGATGGATGTTTTGATATGTTTTTCAGCCCCTATTTCAGAGAAGCCAATGAGCAGGGAAGTGAGAGAAGCGGCCACATGAGAGGATGCCATGACAAGCTTGAAGATCGCGGTTCCTCATTTATGGTTCGATTGTTCAACTATTCCGCGCCCCAGCTTTTATTTCACCAGGTGAAACTCATTTCCTTTTCGGATCCTGCGCAAGCCACTATTGTAGGCCACCAGCCGTGATCCTTTTGGTTTATGGAGGTTCCCGGGGTTACGATTTTAGGGAGATGGAACCACCGGGTAGATTCAACCTCCAGCCGTCCAGGTGAAGGCCGGCCGACGCGCCGGGGCCCTTGGGGGTTATTCCTGTCGCAAGGACCTCTGCTTTTCTGCCCGAAGGACCCACAAAAACAAGGCACAAAGGCAGAAGAAAGGTGTCTAGGCAGTACCCCCAGTACCCCTGGCAACCCACTTGGGGACCTACAAACATGGGCTAAAGCTAGCCGTTTAGCGATTTCGTGCCAGACGATCTAAGCACGTATGCAAGTATCATGGGCACATGGATCTGAAACAAAACGAGCAACAACCCGCGATGAAGGGCCTGGAACAGCGGATGTTTGATTTCACTTCGGGATTATAGTTTGTTCATTTGCCCATGTCCTTTTGGGAAATGAGTAGTTGAAGTACTTGTGTCCGCGGCTCAGGAACAGCTCAGCTGTTTTGGGCGGCAACTGGAGCTAGTCCCCTTATCATCATGATTGTAACCCACGAAGTTGGTTGAACAGCCTAGTAGGGACCCTGCATTTCGATCAAAGCTACAGTTTCAGAGTGGCGAAGTAAATCTCAACTTTTGAAAGTGACACCTGATCTCAACTTCTGAAAGGGGAAGTGATGCGCCGGTTTCCAGCGGCAGAGTCAAACGTGGGAGTCCCTGCATTTCTCATTTGCCTCCTTCCGCTTCCTTGGGCGTTTCCAAGTGGAAACGTTAACCCCGCTTGCCCCTTTCCATTGAGTACCACCACGATGGTTTCTGGAGATCAATCCGCCAATCGGGTTAGAGGCTTCCAGGTAGTTTCCGGGTAGACTACGGGGAGGTCGGGTGCTTGTTTTGCTTGCCAATCCTTCCCTTTGTGTGAGTCTCCCTAAATCGCATCCGCGTTGCTGGAACCCAGCGAGTTGGAACTTGGTCCCCCTCCGCTGTCAGGTTTGGATGGGGGGGGGTAGTTGGCTTTACCATTGAGGGGAACCAGTACAAGTTGTGAGCGAAAAACTACGGAGTAATTCCATATGACTGTGCCTCGGTTTGAAACTGAGACTGAAATACCCTTGTGGCTGGCACCCTGGTTAGGGCTTGGCTTGGCGCGACGTCAAGGAGCCAAAGATCTTCAGCGCCTTCGGGAAATTGGCCAAGTCAGGCCAAAGGGGCGGTGTTTTTCGGGGTTGGTAGGCTCCTGAGATATTCGACTGCCTCCAGCAGAGCAACTGAGGTCATGGTGCGAGCGGAGGAGACCAGCGCAGAGGCCCCTCGGGGTGTGGTTGGGGTTTGGTAATTAGATGGGTCTTTCAAAAGGTTTTTGGGGGCGGCATGGCTCCATGACCCATATATTTTGTGTTTTGAACACGGCTCAGTTGATGCATTCTGGGCGTGCAGCAAAATTTCAGAAGGGATTGGGCGGATCACCTTTGGGGAAGTTCCACTTCCTGCGGCGGGCAATGTAAGCCAAGAACAGAAGCAGAACAGGTGCCCGGCTTTCTGCATATGCAACCGACGCTATTTGTGGACATTCTTGCGCCGGGGTTGTGTGAGGACTCAACTTTCAGGCGCCCCAACAGGTCCCAGAGTCGCCAGGGTTGGCTTGAGCCTCGGACCAAACCTCCGTGCAGCTTTTCGGTTTGGGGTCTCGGAGGTCTTTTGGGTGGTTTGAAGCTGGGCAAAAGCGATAGCATTTCGCGGGCACCCCCCGGAACCGTCAAGTCTCTTCTCAGAGGTCACCTTCAGGAGTACTTCCCCGCTTAAGTTATCCACAGACCTGCACTTGGCACAAATTCCAGGTACCTTCATGGACGGAGAGCTATGTGTCCGGAAACAACTAGCCTGTGGGACCCTTGCCATCGTCACCGACTTGCTTGACTCAGGGTTCTTCACCCAAACAGACCCTCTATAAACCCGAGGCCCCACCCAAACCGAAGTTCGGTTGGGTCTCACCTTATGTCAATTCACAAGGGTGCAATTCCAAAACAAGACGCCCATTTAGGTGAAAACAAGAAACCCGCCCAGCGTGCAAAACCCCTGGTTTGCAGGCGCAGGTCGGGACTTTTTGCCTGCAGCCCCCATAAAGAATCAGTTCAGCCGCGTTCACACGGACCTGAAAAGGGTGCCCCTGGTCTTTTGGTTCGTTGGGTTACCTCCCCAATAATACGGAGCCTAACCGGGGAACTGGAAGACGAGAGGAGTTCTAGTAGGTAAATGGCGCCGCTAACGTGGCATTGAAGCAACAAATCACAGATTTTGAGGGGTTTGCTTTTTCTGTCGACACACCGCACACTCTATCCCCGCGCTTTTCAAAAGGGATTCGAAGTGTGTTGCCTTTCGGACAAGTTGGGTTACCCCCCCCCCCCGCTTGTTTGGGCGGAAACTCCTAACCTACTCGAGGCGGAGCCGGTGCCGCTGTGGTTCGGGGACCAGGGCTTCGTGAACAGCGCGCCGGTGGATGTGGCGCTGCTGCTGGAGGATGCGGCTAGGCTACGAGAAGGTTGGCTCCAAAGTAAAACGGTTGGCTTCATTGCTCTTGGTGTTTTTTTGTTTCCCCTTTCCTTTTTTCTTTCTTTTCTTTTTTTTCCACAGTTCTTGGCATTTTATTAGCAGGTTTTTATTTTTGTTGTTGTTGGTTCTGTTCATTTTGAGTGGACTGCGAAAGAGTTGTTTGCTCACCGTGCCAAGGACGGAACACGTTGCCAGCTTTGGGCGCCTCCCGAACAGTTTCACATTCCAGTGGGTTGCTTCCTTTTGCCCCATGGTCACTGGGGGTGCGGGTAATCTAAGGTAGACTGACTAATAACTAAATATCAAGCTGCATCCGAACATATGGGTTTCTTTGCATCTCAGATGTGGAGCGGGAACATCCTGCACCCTGTGATTGATCAACCACTACCAACTGGTGCAGGAATTGTCCATACAAACCCCTAACACTGGTTTCCTCTTGAACACCATCCCCAAAATGGCTGCCCTTTCACCCCTCAAAGTGGTTTGCCCTAAGCATGGTTAGTTCCCTTTGAGTTCCCTTTGCCTTTGGTTTCCATTTTGGTTTCCCTATTTTATTCCATGGAAATGGATCAACTTGCCTGATTGCAAGGTTCCCCTCTATGGGACGCCAGGAATGCTTTGCTTTCAATTGTATCTCGTATTTGCAACTGGGGCTGTGGTGAACAGGACGCATGAGTCGGCCAACGAACATGGACTCAGCAGTACATTTGGGGTGGATGCGTTTGCGAGAATGCGTGGTTCGCGTCTTCTCTTTTTTTACACAAGTTTAGATTTGCCTCAAGACTCGATCTTTTGGGCCGCGAAAGCTCTCGCAGCTTTCACAGGCGAATCCAAGGGGATGTCTCCTTTTGCTTTCACGCGCTCAACCCGCAACCCCAACCCAACCTCTCCACGGCGACCCATTGGACCGACTTTTCCAAGGTCCAATTGGCGATTGCCGTGTTGTGCATCCCATCCCCACCCCCGCGCCCTCAACCAACCGTGAAGATTTTCAACCAAGCCCCCCTCCGCACTTCCCCCCTCCCCACCCACTTCCCCCCCCATTCCTTCCCCCCCCTCCTTCCTCCCCTCCCCACTTCCCCAGCCCCGAGGTGGGCGACGACGTGGACGCCTGGCCCAGCGCCCTGCAGCGCGCGCTGAGGCGCTTCCCCGAGGCCGCCGGGAGGCTGCGCCAGGTGAAGAAGGACGGGAAGCTGCCGGGAGACCCAGCGAGCGGTTTCCCGAAAAACGGCCCAAACCGGGGGGGCGGGGGGGCAAAGGTGAAACTCGAGGTGGTCTAAGATGAGTACAGTCAGCAAGCAGCTTCATGGTGGAACATTGGTTTGTTGTGTTTTGCGTTGCACAATATTTCTGTCAAGGAGTCGAATCCCTTGAAAGAAATACAATACCTGGAGTGTCCATGACGTTGATTCTGCCTTCGTACCACCTCCAAGCCTGGGGGGTCTCCAAGAATAAGGTTTAGAACTCCCAAAGAATCTTGAGTTGCCTTTTAGAGGTCCAACACTTTCCAATGGGGATCCAGACCCCTCCAATGGAGGTCCAATAATTATTGGGGCATGGATGCTATTTTGCAGCACTGACCTCAGCTTGTAGACCCTTATGTAAGTGGCAACCCTACTACCGCTTTCAATTGTTTTGTGTTTTCCTTCATTTTCCTTTGTTTGAACAGCAAACAACAGAAAAACAGTTAGCTTTTTTGCAAGGGGTCTAAGTCTGAGTAGAAGTCCGGCCAAGGCTTTCACGTAAAATATCCCCATGGTAAATGCCACACTTGATCTTGGGATGATCCTTGAAAGATCGAGCAATGAGCAATTGAGGTCTATTAGCACGCGCAACCAGAGACTGGGCCGGTAAGGAAACCAACAGGTTCAAGGATGTCGACTCCCCTGCAAAGTAACATGGAACCCAAAGCGGAAAAGGAGATTCTTCATCAAATGGGCTTTCGGGGTTTCGTTGGGTTGGTCCAATCCCAGAGGTACGAGCGAAAACCTATGAGCTCAGATTTCCGGTTTATGAACTAGTTTTTCCCAGGGTACATCCTGTGCTTGCAGAGATATCACCCTTCCCCAGCTCACCTGGAAGGAACATATTTAGACACGTCCAGGAGCCTGAACCGCCCAGCCCTGTCTTTCACCAAACCTTCGTTCTGTTTCAGAGATCTCCTTTGGGAACGCACGATAAACGAACAGCTGGTTGATTGAAAGGTGGGCTTTTGACGAGTTACCTTGGCTTGGCAGAAACGGAAACCCAACCGGCCACTCAGCTGGCTGATTGTTGGTTGTTCTTGGAGATTCATGTTGCCACGAAGCAACGGATCGCGAACGGATCGCAAACGGTTGAGGTGCGTCTTTTTAGGGGAACCCTCCGAAGTGATTTTCCGTTTGATTCCCAGCAACAATGGCGTACCCTCAAAATGAAGACACACCCACATACGAACCCGGCGCTCAGGTCTTGGAAGATCTTCCTCAACAACGGCGGGGTGCCCTTCACCACCGCCTCGGTGCCTCCCTGCGGCCTGCCCTCTGCGGAGGCGCAAGTCGAAAGTCGCGGGTCGCGAGTCGGGGGAGGTGGGGGAGGTAAGGGACTGGTTGTGTGTAGTGTGGTGTTGTTTTGTTCTCTGACTTGATGTTTGTTGTGTGATGTCCAAGTCCTTGGCCTGATTTGATGTTTGTTGTGTGATTTCCAATATCGTGAGAACACCGGGCCGTTCTGTTAGGGTTGCCTTGGACCATGGTATTTGTGCCCCACACGAATGCGGCATTCCGTCTCGGACTTGTCCCAAAGGCCCCCCCGGAATCCCACAAGTTGGGGGTTGATAAGCCTGGCATAAATTGCAAAACTTCTATCAGAATATCGTGTCAGTCTTGGATGTACTTGAACTTGATACTGAACGGTTGTGGGGATCTTTGGCGGGTAGGATCCCAGGATATCCTTGCCGAGGAGACGGACAACGAGTCACTGGAACTAGCTACCCAACCGAACTATCAGTAGGTTCCCGTCAGGGCAATTTGGGATGGCGGGGGCTACCTCTTTCCAACAACGACAGAGTGGCTTCTCCAAGAGGATAGACTTCCAAAGTTCTCCTGTCAGCTTTCCAGTTGGAGGGATTATCCTTCTGACAGTGATGGTTACGTCATCATTCAGGTGGATTGAAGACCCATCTAGGGCTACTTGGGAGCCATTCGGTACATGCTCGCTCGCTTGTCAGCTGCCTTAAGCCCCAGTAAGCGCCGGACGGACATTCCAGCAAGGGTGTGCTTCTACATATGGTATGTGTCAAGTAGGGGCACCCCACAAATCATGGTTTCTCTCAGCGGTTTCCCTTTTGATTTCCCTTCAATCCCCCATTTTATGGGTGTAGCGTTTTTTGAGGGCCCCCGTTTTGGAGTGGGCTTAAAGGGACACAAATATGTGCTTTCTTGCCAACCTTAGGTTTCTAGAGACATGATCTTCCATAAGCCCCCCCCCCCCCCAACCTGGTTGTTTTTCTCTCCATGTTTTTCTCTCCAACCGAGAATGCCATCCTCTTGAGAGGGAAAATTACAGTTGACCTGCGCACGTTTTCGCACCTATCTGGAGCTCGCCCATGATGAAGGTCCTTTACCGGGGGGATTCTTGTTCTCAAAAAGTAGCTATGTGAATTATAACAATCTGCCCAAATTTTCGGACCGTTGTTTCAGTAGTTTTGACTTCCAGGTCTTGGTTTTTGTTGTGCTTTCGGCTCCTTGGGGAAATGGGGGTTCGCTGCGTATGACCAACACCTCTGCCCGCTATGTCATAGAGCAGCCTTGGTAGATCACGAAGTGTTTTGCTCATCTGCGAGGAAGACCGACTCAGGTTGCCTCAGCCAGAATTCAAAAGGGAAGCAATTTTAGGATGCCCTATGTTGAGACACACTGATTTGAGGGTACCCTTTTACGTCGGTCCGAAGGGAAACCAAGTGGACCACCACCATTTTTTCTGGGGTCTCCAAAACTAATCGATATTTTAGGGTAGACTAAATATGAGCCAAACAACAAAAAGGTATCATGTTTGGTGTACCCCCTTTTTTGGTTGGCGCCACGTTAAGGGTTCCAATCTTGACGCGCAGCCCCCCAGGTTTTCAGCGAAGAATCCTGCTGCAGGCGCTGCAGCTGGCCTGTCAAGACGACTCCTCCGGATTCTTTGACACCGGCATGGCGGAGGGCGACCCGGACTTCGATCCTTCGATCCGATCGGAGCGGCTGGAAGGGGAGCTCCTTCAGCGGGTGCACATGGGCGTGCCATAAAA